GTTGGGAGGTAAAAACTGAAAATTGTTTGTGTTGACGGCTGGCGGTGCTGTGTTTCGGGTGGCTGGCCTGGCTGTACAATCTGGTCTGGTGGAGTCAAGTGGAAGTGGGTTTTGTTATCATCTTTAGTAAATCATAAACGAATACTGTTATGCTTGAATAATATGGATCAGGATTAAGCCTTTTATCATAAAATGATGTCAACTCGTGATTATAAGGACACTATCAACATTATAACAAACATTCGATTCTAATTCGGCTAGATGGAGGAGGAATTTTACAATGCTATATAGCATTGGTGCTATAGGTTTTTGCCTTTATGGTACAACTTGAAATTGTATTTTTAACGTTATGGTACAACTTCAGATTGTACCTATACTTTTTGTACAAATTCTTTTATGGTACAACTTAAACTTGTACCTTGTCTGATGGTACAACTTCAAGTTGTAAAGTTGTACCATAACATAATGATACAAATTCCTTTATGGTACAACCTAAACTTATACATTTAATGTTATGGTACAAACTCAAGTTGTACATTAAAGCACCAATACTATATAGCATAGTAGAAGTGCTCCTAGATGGAGGGGTCATTTTTAGTATGTTGTTGGCATGGCATGTGAATCAGTGTGAATATGTACGATAAGCATTGTAAGAAGCGATATATGGAGATGTTGCACTAATTTTTCGAATTTGTCTGCTGACAAGAAACTCTCTTTCATGCATATGATTAACTTGGTAGGATTTGATTTGATTCTTGGTTTCTTTTGTTTTCTTACAGTTTGTGTATCTGTTTTCTTAACAACACTAGCGATCTAATGAAAAAAATATACTTAAAAAATGTACGTAAAATAGGTTCAACAATGCCAGGCTAGTATTATGCTACAAGCCAGTGACAGTGATGCCATCTACTTGGAATCCTAACTTTGGCATAATGGCATACTTTTTCCCTATCAATATTTATGATTATGTTATTATTTTCTAGTGGGGTTGGTTTGTGTCTAGGGATGGCAAAAATATCCGTAACCGTGGATATCCGCCCGAATCCGGCCTAGTCGGGTAGGGTAAAACCCGAACCCGAAGGACATTTAGTGGGTACGGGTAAAACCCGAACCCGAATATTGCGGGTAATGGGTGGGCATGGATTTCTCACTATCCGACCCGAACCCGCCCGATTATACACATGCATATGTATTTTGTCTAGAAATAATCATTATTTTTCTCTAACATATTTTATATTTAGCATATAAATATAACATTTTCATAAAATTGTGTTGTTTTAGTTAATTTTCTTCACTCTAGTGAATTCTTGTCGTACTTTTTCTCTTACTTAATATAAGAATACGTGTGAATGTTAACATATTGGTTGGAGTTATGAAGAGAAATTAATATCCATGGATAACCGTGGATACCCGAAACCCGAACGGGTATGGGCATGGTTTTAATTTTCTACCCGTTTCACATGTGGGTATGGGTATGGGTAAAACCCGAAGTACTTTGGGTAGGGTAACGGATATGCACTATCCGCCCCCGACCCGACCCATTGCCATCCCTATCTCTTCCTACGAGTTTTTTTCATGGTTTAAACCATGAATTTAATGGAGCATAAAACGTGTTGGATGACTCTGCTTCAATCTTGCAAGTAAATGGTACTGAGAATCTAGAACTTGACTCACTTTCCATTTGATTGTTTTTCTTCATCTTCAAATATCAACGTTTAAAACAGGGCCGATATGGATCACAACACAGTTATAATTAGCAAAGAGACCATGTAAAAGGAAGGGGACAATTTCAGAACTTTATTGCTCCCTTTGCTCTTCAATTTCATGCTAAATTGTACGTGTAATTTGGAATGAAAATTGTATTTGTCAGCTGAACTGGAAGCAGAGTTGTCATCAATAACTTTTAAAGATGAACGAATGCTAACGGACTACACCAGTACTATTAGCTTTTCCCTTCGTTTGATATTTTGTTTGGATGATAATATTGTGATTGTGTTTACAGAATAAATTCACTGCCCAATGATAGCTTCCTTACTGATTTAACTTTTAAAGATGGTAGCAAGGGGATATGGGACTTCACAGGTTGTTTCTTTATAGATGGTAGTATTTGAATCCGTAATCATAATTCATACTGCCATGTACTGTTGGATAGGCTGAATACTTAATTTCATTTTGTAACTCAGTCATCTTAACACAATCGACGTGTCTTTGTGTAACTGGTTTTGGTGATCATCCATTCTATGACTTGATTTATTATGGATAAAAAATGCAGGTTCTGGAGATGCACTGGATAATGGTTCGTGAGACCAAATGCTTGAAGAATCTTACCATCTCCAACAGTTCAGGTACAAAGTCTTCATTTTATGATGCGATAGTCTAACCCTTAACTGCTGTTGTTTTCCATTTGAACTTGATGTGTTCACATACGAAGCATTGCTCAAGAGATGCTGGAAGGGCAAAGTGCTTTAGCTATCACTAAAGAAACGAGTGCTCGAAACATTCCCAGAAACGGTTTCATCTATAACATATTAATTGACAGGCGAGATTCTCAGCAGATTGGTTCATTTGGATTTTGCTTCTCTTCTGACTAATTAATGGACGAGGATTATTTTCAGATGGGCTCGGGAGCTGATGTTTTTGTGTTTTCGTACTTGGTTCTTTTTATGGTTCTCGATTCTCTTGCCTCCCATCTCCAACAACTGCTTTGTACCTTGACAATGTTTCCTTTGGTGTTCCTTTAGTCCATGAATTGTAGTGGGATGGCTTTGAGGCTTTCCTTTATGGTAATTATGAAGTGGGTTGGCTGATTGATTTGTTATATTTTAGGAATGACAGAATTCCTAGGGAAGAGACCCATGTCATGTTCAGGATTGGAGCAACTTACCGTCATCTTAATTTACCATCACTTTAATGACCACCATATAATCATTCGACTGCAACTTAGTTCCTGCGGCGTTGCGTAGCCGCCGCAGGTATTGCTTCTAGTTTTCACTAAAACTGTAAAACAGGTCCCTGACAGAAAAATAAAAAATAGAAATTCTAGTTATTTCTTTTTTCCCTTTGGTTTGCTTCTTCTTCATCTTTCTCCTTCCCCCATCTCCCTCACAGGTTCCCTTCCTCTTCATCTTCAAAATCTCTGCTTAATTCCTTAGCAAGGCCATAGAACTCATCCAATGCCTTGCCCAGACGGCCATGGCTTTCCCTCATCAACCGCTGACGAAGCTCTGTCCTCTCAGCAACCAATTTCAAACGCTCCATTTCTGCTCTCTCCCCGCTCCAGAGCAGCTTGATCCTCCTTCCGCCCGATCCTCTCTTCCTCCAGAGCTGCCTTCAACTGGTCCCGCTCCGTAGCACAGCTCACGAGTCGCCCCACCGCATCTCGAACCTGCGCCTCGAGGCCGGAGGATCGCTCCTGCGCCATCTTCAGCTGCTCGGTTAAGTCCTGGCCTCCATCCGCGCCTTCCTGTTGGCCTCTGCCCACAAGTAGAAAAGAATGGAAACTCGGTGAGGGTCAGAGCACAAGGAAGTAATGACAAAGGGAAAGAAGAGGAAGAAGAAGAAGAAGACTTACTCTTTCTGTTTGTGGTCTGTGTAGACGCCATGTTTCCTATCTTTAGCTTTTACGAAATACACTCTGTTTTGCTTCTCTATCAGAACAGAGCTATTTGCAGGACATTGTGACAAGCAGAGAACACACCAGTGCGATATATAGCGGAGAAAGGAAGACTGGCTGGAGAATGCTCGAGACTCAAAAGCACTGAAATGAAAGGTTTCTGAGAAGCCCAAGAAAGAACCGTTCGGATTCGGCAGAGACCCGATCGACCAGAAACAGGGCATTCAAGATTTCAATGTCCCGCCCGGCGAGCTCGACGAGTAAAGATTGGGGTACGCTCTTTTGGGTTATATCTAGAATTTGTAATAAATATTGGAACAGAACCCTTGACAGAAAATACAGTGAACCTCTCCTGTAAGTTGTACCCTTGACAGAAAATATTGGAACAGTATGAGGTAACGAAGCAATGCCACTCATAAATCGCGCTGCCATAAGGAAAAACAGAACATAAGGAATGTACAAGGCTACAAAAAGGCCAAAAACAAGATGGCCAAAAGGAGAGAGGAAAGTTGCAACTTCAAAAAAATCAAGCCATGATCACATTGAGAAAGCAGACTGACTGCATTAGCTTTCTTCCCACCCTCACATCCCTAAGTCTCTCCATTGCCTCAAAAGCTGGTGTTCCTTCAAAGACACAATCATTAGCCTTTACCCTGTGAGCTCCTTCAATTGCTGCCAAAGAATTTGAGAGTACCGCAAGATGAAATCAGGAGCTATCCAGAAAGTTAGGGGATGATGATTCCAGAAAGACTTTACCTTTTCCAACTTCTGAGTATGATTGTTTTCTAATTGCTTTCGAAAGCAATTAGTAAACAAATTCATTTTGTGGGTGACCTTACGTAAGCTGAATGGCTTTGCAAAATCGATAGAGAAGTTTTAAGACCGAGATGATTGGAAACACACTTCATGCTTGGTGGCACGTTGAAATGCCAGTTGCCAACAGTGCAAGTATGCGTAGAACAGAGGAATGGTGGGATATCGGCATTCCACAACACTTTGAGGAGACACGGATCTCTGAAAGCAGAAGATGTCTCCATCCTGCTGCTGCAATAACAACATTGAAATCGACCATGTAGGTGATGTGAGCATGCTATTCACGGGGTTTATATATAGTACTGATCTCAAGCCATGGATTGGATGATGGATGGTCTATGAGAATGATGCACGTGTTACCCCCAACATGTCCAAAAGGTACTTGCTTGTCCACGGGTTCGATCATCAATTCGGATTCAGAATGAAGTTCCTGCAGATATACCAAATTTTGCAATTCATTCCAGCCATCACCACGAAAAGCTATGTGCTGCAGGTGAAGTATGCAGAAGTTGAAGCACAATGTACATGGGAAGAACATCACCAGCCATCTCATTCAATTTCGTCAAAATGTCGGCTGGCTTACTACTTCCTTTCACAAATAGTCTTCCAACATAACTAAAAAGGCCAAGAAGGAAGAAACATCACCACAATTTCATGGCTTTATCATCGGTGACTACAACTACTACTACTTCGACCAAAAAAAAAGAAAAACTACTACTACTATAACTAGAACACTGTAGTCTGTAAGTACCGTAGCTCTTCATTTTCTGGCTCATAAACCTTCACAAAGTGGAGTATATCTCCTTGCAGCTTCTCGGGTGGGGGAACGGGTTGTAGATTCTGATGAACCAAACATTCGAAAGATTTGAATCTTGAATGAGATGCGATTGAGATTGTTCAGCACGGAGGGGGAAAAAGCTTACCCCATCTCTTTCAACTTCCAAGAATAAGTACAGCTTTGCATTATCGATCCGGAGACTTTCTGCCACACATTGTTGAAGCTCTATCACCTGCAGCACAACACTAAGTTATCTCTTTAAAAGAACAAGTTACAACTTTACTGTTTGGTAGAGTCACGTCTTAACACTGTTTTTCTTTGCCACATTTTTACTGCGTTCTCGTCTGTAATCATTGCTTACCTCTCTCTTTCCCTCTCTGCTTTAGCCTGGGTTGCTTCGCCAGCGACTTCTCTTCTCTCTGCCAACTTATCGGTTTTCGGAACTCCTCACCTTTCCCCTGGAAATGACAGGTACTGGCGCTTCCTCATCTGTTCCTTTCCCCACAAAAAGTCTTGTTTTGCTTTGCTACCTTTCATTTGTGCTTCTCACAGACTTTCCCTCTTCTAGCTTGCTTGCTCGCTTGCTTTCTTCTATTGCTCTTCCATGGTGACCCATAAATTGCTTCTTGACCTCAGCGACTCCGATGGCCCTCAGACTCTTCTGAAGCTGCGCCTCCTTAATGCGTGGGGGTCTTATGGCCTGAAGAATCCTACATTAATCTTCAACTACTGCACTCTTTGGAATGATGAGGAGGTCAGCGCTGCTTTCCCTTTTTATTTTGCCACGTAATCTTGCGCCTCCCTTCTTTTTACAGCCCTCTGATGTTCGTTTCTTTTCTGGCCAGGGTACTTTGATTCAGGGCACGGCTCCCTTCGGAACTCACGCGCCATTTCTCTCCGCTTCTGCAGTTGGGTAGCGTTTACTTCGTGAGCAATTTTCGCGTCAAGCCACCGGCCCCTTCGTATCGTTCTTGCTCTCATAAGTTGACCATCATCCTCTCTGCCGCTACACAGTTCGAAGACGTGACCCGTTCGTCACCTTCATTCTGGCCGGATGCGTTCGAATTTACCCCGTTCAGCCTCGCTTCATTCCCGCATACGTTCATCGGTTTATCTAACAGGTCTTGTACTGTATTCTTTACGTCTCTTGCTGTCCGTTCTGCAGTGTACTGCTTACCATCCTTTCCTTTCTTCTCTTGCTTGTGCCTCTGTCAGATGTCGTTGGCGCTGTTGTTAGCATAACAAGGCGTTTCTAGCACCTGTAACTTCATTCGGTACCACTGTGCGGAGTGATTTGGTGCTTCAGAATGAAAAGTATGTTACAGATGCACACCACTGCTTTATCGACTGTAATACATTTGTTTACTTACTTTCGTTGCTTTTTTGCCCAGTCCACATGGTTTATTGATATCAGTCTGTGAGTGATATAGCTCGGAATCTCAATGGTCAGGAACTGGCTGTCCTTGGTCGTTCTGGGCCAGTTATGCTTGCTGTTTGCTCACTTCGAGTCACTGGCGCTACGAAAGGTTCTGCATGTACCTTACCGCCGCACTATTCTCCCTTTCATTTCCCTTCCTCTTTTCCTTATTACCTTTACCCCTCTTGTAGGAGGTTACTCTCTTACCAGTACTCCAGGCACACGTTGTGTTCTCAACCCTGTTTCTGAAATGGGCTCACCTGGTCCAATCTGTGTATGTCTTTTCCTTATCCTCCTCATATTTGTTTTTTTCCCTTTGCATCATCAGCTGTATTTTTGGTTACTGCTAATTTGTTGCGTTCCTTGCTTTCGCTTTCGTTAGGTTCTTTGCCATCACTAATACATGTCAATATTACCCTCCGAGGTTTGCAACTCCTAATGAGGCAGCGGCCTTCGAAGCTGAATGTACGAAGACTGTGTCACAACTACTTGCCTTGTGGTTTTCCACCTGTTGCCGATGTATGCTTTTTTCCCATTTTGCTCTCCAGCTTACCTGCTTCTGTTCCTTTCACTTCATTTGTTTGTCCGTCTAATCCATTTCCTTTCGTTTACTTTTTTTTTAGTCTACGCGTTACCATTGCTCTGGTCGGATTGTTTCGGTTGATTCTTCTATGCAGTGGTACTACTTGGGTTGTGCGCTTTGTTCCAAAGAAGCCATAGATTATGATGGTGTTGACAAATGGTGTGATGACCACCGTCGTTTGGTGCCTCAACAAACACAGAACTTGTAATTCCTTTCTTCATTCTTGCCCCCATACCTTTTACCTTTTCTCGTGTCCTCAGATGCTCCTGTACACGTTTTTTGCAGTTACAAACTTCGGGTAACAGTTGATGACAACACTGGATCAGCAGCTTTTGTTCTGCTGGGTAGGGCCGCTGACCTTCTTGTGGGCTTGACTGCTAACGATCTCTCTACCTAGGTTTCCTTACCAACGCAATGTTCTTCCACAAAGAACTTCTGGCTCTTGAAGGGCGAGACTTTACTTTGACGTCCAGCTTCCAAAACCGGAATATGGGGCTCGTGGCCCGCCAGAATTCACGGTCCTTGCTGTCAATGAGCAAGAACAGCCAAATTCCTGCTCACCAACTCTTGGTCGCCGGGCAAAGAAATGCTATGCCCCATACACCACCTCCTAACAGGTTGTTTTAATGTTCTTCAGTTTGTGGTGCAGTTTCCTTTTGCTCATTACTAATTCTGCTGCTTTCCGTTGCAGTCCTCACTTGATGCCTCTTACTTCTCCATATGTTGTTCCAACAATGCAGAACGCTTCGGTAGAGCATGGTTCTTCTGTTGCTTCACCAAGGTTATGCTTCAATTTTACATGTCCTCTTTTCTCTGGTTGTTGCTTGTCTTTAACTCGGGTTCCTTCTTAAATTTGCAGTGGGAGTTCTCAGCTTGCATTTTCTACTCCTCCCACGTCGCCCCTATAGCAGGTTTGTTTTTACAATCCACTTTGCTTTACAAAATTAACAAGCGCTTCTTTGGACGCTGTCGTACTCTTTCCCTATGTGTTGACATTTCTTTCCATGCGTTGTTTACCATCAATTTCCAGTAGGCGCATCGCTGCTGTATCCTCGCCCTCATCTGCTGCATTGGGAAGGTTGTCTGTTTGTTGTCTGCTTTGCTAGCTTAGTGCTGCTTATACACGTTCTGATGTCGTTTCCTGACATGTTTCTTTTCAACAACAGTACTGTAGCTTCTTCTCCTGAACTTGGTCGTACTGAGATTGTTTCCTATGCGCGGTCAGTTTCTTGCCTTTTCCTGTGTTACCTCAATCGTTCGCCTTTACGCCTGCTAATATTTGTCAATGACTCTTGCACACACCGTTTAACTGCTTCTTAGCCCTAGAAGTGAGGAAGTGCCCCCAGAAACTGCAACACAGCGATCCCCACAGTACCTTTTCCTCCTGTTAACTTACTTACTAGCTTTACGTGTCTCTTCTTTCCTTGCTGAGCATCTCTGTATCAGGGAACTTGCTTCGGACACTACAGAAGCTACTGTGCAGAACAAGAACAGTAGTTCGCAGAAAGCGAAGCCGAAGAAACCATCTGCTAAGAAGAAGTCTCTCTGCCCTTTATTACTTGCTATGTTTCTTGTACCAAATTTACATATCCTACATTAGGGTCTTAATTTCCTGTTTAACTTGCTTCTGTTTGCATACTGGCAATTTACTTGGTTTTTGTGCACCCTTCGTTTTACATGTGGCCTGCTTCCTACCCATTCCCCATTGTTATTTCGTTTTAACCACTTATTTGGTTGTTAACTGTGCATACGCCACTATTGCCTCTTGGAATTCTTTTACTTATCATAGTATCCTGCATTGTACTTCGATTTACTGTCCTTACCTTATACAACTTTGTTGGACTTTTGCAGGAAAACTGGAGGTGCAGGTGCTGCGCGTCGTCCTGCAGTTACTCTTGAAGAAACCGATGTTCCGATATCGTCCCTTCAGATCCCTGTTGGACATCCTTTGCCAACCGAATCGGCGAATCCTGACTCTGGAAATCTTAATGCCCTCGGTGTCAATTTGCAGACAACAACAATTCAGCCTTTGTCACAGTATGTGTCGTTCTAATTCTTTGCTTGCCAGTGTTGTCTGCTCCCTAGGATTCCAGTTTGCATGCTTTTGGTGCTCTTCTAAACCTGATCAAAAAGGTTTCCAGTCTGCACAGAATACTTATTTTTGACGCAAAAAAATTGCAAACAATGCTTTAACAATTAAAGTTGGTCTTCTGCTTTATACATGGTTTAAGTCGTTACCATAAAATACAATAGCCGATGGATGGCCTTTTGTATCCCTTTCTTCGCCCTTCGCTAACTTACACGTGTTCTCAATGTGCAGACATACAATGTTACCTTTCAGTGGCCATACTAATTATCTACGAATGTTCTACCTTTTTTGTTTATACAGAACAAAATAAACAAATAGTTGTGGCTTCTGCTTACTTGGTCAGCTTCAAATCAATTATTTTTCCCACAGTTGAAGTAATAATCGTCTTTACTTTAGGGAGATTCCTTGTGCAGTTTGTTCTTTGTTGTTAGTCATTATCTTATTCGTGCTTTGCAAGTTGCTCCCGCATTGCATAGGAATGTGCATGTTCTTTCATATAGATGTGTGTTTTACAGACCTACTTCCTTTGTCTCCTTTTCTAGGCAACCTGTGTCTATAAATCCTGCACCTGTACGTCGCCGTCGCTTGGTTGTTTCTTCTGATGAAGACGAACCTGTTGTCCCTTTGGAACTGCAAGACTTGGACGTTGAACTTCCACTGCAAGAACAGGCTATTGGAAAACTCTTCGACTTGTCCTGTTCCTACCGTTGACTCTACTTTGCCTTCTCCTCTTCTTGCTGGCCAAGAAGTTCTCGCTACTTCCAGTGGGGAAAACTAATCCTGGGAGGGCAAAGCGAATTAGGACACCGTCTGCAAAGGCCATTGAAGCATCTGTGGATGCTCCAAGAGGAAGCCAAAAACTCCCAAATCGTCTGCTAAGGAACCTGCTAAGAAGCAACTGTTTGCTGATTGACCGTGCATTCGCATCATGCGAGTGCTAATGTAACATGCTTGTGCAGTGCTGTCCCTCCCTTTCTTTTGTATAACTTTTAAAGGGAAACACTCTTTAGCGAGTAGTGCACTATGTACTTTTGCCTTTTGTGTCTACATTTGCAGCCCTTGCCAAACTTGTGGTTTCCATTACTGGCACCACTTCTACCAATCTGGTCTGCTATGACATTTGACTTGTATTAGTTACCTCTTGGTCCAGGTTACCCCTTGCGTACCTGCTTTCTAACCAGCTCTATGTCGTTAATATAAAGCGACATTTTGGCATGCCCTTCTTTAAGTGGCATAGTATTGCGCCACTCTGCAACTGAACTTTATTTTGTGCTAAGGAACTGTTGTACTTTGTATCATCATTTGTTGGGTGGAATTTTGCCGTTTAGCCCGCATTCGCATCGCACCTGTATCTACTTCGTTAGCCACTTGTTTTGCTCTTTATTCGCAGGGTGGCCACTGTCTGTTGTAAATGGCCACTTTGAGGACCAAATTGTGCACACCCTTTTCGATGGCAGGGTATTTAGGTGGTGTCTACCAGCCACACAGTAACTAGATATTTAGATTGTCCACTAATACCATGACTTTGTTTACTAGCTTCCATAGACCCAAATTATAAACTTATTTTCCTTCTATTAATTGCCATCATGCATTTATTGTTCTGACTAGCCTGTTCACTAATGATGGCTTTATTACTTCTCACTTCTCTAGACTAGCCTGCTATGGTGCATGTTGTATTATTATACTTTTTCCTTAAGAAGGATATTTCCCCCTGGAAACACCGTTTACCTGTAGACTGTCTTCTTCCATAACTGCTTTCCCATTACTGCTTCTTTTTGCTTATTCTGTCTTTGCTGTTGGTCATTGAATGAAATTCTCTGCTACATCTGCTATACTATTACCTGGTATCTGCCTTCCTCTGCAAATCTGCCAGTGTCTTTATTCCACTGTACCCGTTTAGAAGGCGTGACATGGTTAGTTTGGTCAATTTATTACTTTTATCTTACTACATTTACCATTGTGTTCCTATACCATGCTACGCTTGTGCCATAGTTCCCAGGTCCTGTTTTTTCCCTAACGTCAGTGTGTGCTCTCAGGCCACTCCCAGACAGGCTGCACTCCTGCTACCCGGTCGTTCAGCGAATAGGAAGCGTCGTCATATTGGTGTTTCCACTGAATTTGTACCTACCACGCCTCCTTCGAGAAGTTCTGTGAGGCGTCGTGTGTGCAACTTTGATAGACGGGGACGCTTGCACCCACTGCTTGACTCAGAAGGTGAACTTGACTCATCCGAACTTGACTTAAGAACTCCTGAAGACTTAACAGCCAGCTCGCAAACTCATCCTCCTGTTGCGTTGGATGGTCATTGTTCGTTGCCTGATGTGCCTCTACCACCTTCACAACAAGCAAATTCAGTCGAGTTATCGATCATGGTTTTCCTGACTGTGAATGCCAATACTGTGGTGCACGGTTCTGGTATGAAGAGCGGCTTAACAGGCATGCATCTCTTACTCCTGTTTTCACGCTTTGTTGTCAAAAGGGTCGAATACGCCTCCCATTCCTACAGGAAACTCCTCAGTACCTTGAAGACCTCTTGGGTGTTAATGGCGGTCCTATGGCAGCGCACTTCAGGGAACATATACGCTCCTATAATGCTGCGTTTTCTTTCACATCTTTTGGAGCACGCCTTGATCCGAGAGTTACACGATCACGAGGACCTTATTCGTTTGTGATATGCGGAGAAAATTATCATCGAATGGGATCTCTGCTTCCTGCTGCAGGTCAGAGACCTAAAATATTCTCAGCTATACGTCTTTGACCCGCAGACCGATATTAGCAGATCGACTCTCCAATTTCTCTTCTGCTGAAAGGTCCTGCGTCCTGATATTGTTTCTGGTTTAATGAAGCTGTTTGACGTGACAAATGAATTAGTTAAGTCTTTTAGACGAATTCGATCTGAATTGAATGATCCAGCATCAATCAATTTAAGACTGCGTATTGTTGGTGCAAGGGACACAACATCTCGACAGTATGAACTTCCAACTGGTTCAGAATTGGCTGGACTCATTCCTGGTGATTTCTTGCCTGATAAGGAAGAACGAGACATCATTATCGATCATCGGTCAGAGGGCCTGAAGAGGATCACAAGTGTACACCCGAAGTTTGATGCTTTTGCATTTTCCGGTTCTTTTCCCATACGGAGAAGATGGATTCCATGTAACCATACCGTATGATCCTGTTCATACTCCCAAAACATTGAAAAGGAAACATGTGACTCAGAGAGAGTACTATGCTTACCGGCTTCAGCACAGAGACGACGAAGGTCAGACATTGATGCGAGGTGGGAAGGCACTTCAACATTACGTGGTTGATGCATATTCCACAATTGAACAAAACCGACTCTATTATTTGCGATCGCATCAAGAAAACCTCCGTTCTGAACTATACTATGCCTTACAGATGCTTTCAACAGAGGTGATGTTACAGGAGATGCTGTTGGCCATGTTGTTCTTCCATCATCGCATACTGGAAGTCCTAGGTACATGAAGCAACTATACTTAGATGCAATGGCTGTTGTCCACCATCATGGCAGCCCCGACCTATTCATAACCTTTACGTGCAACTCCCAGTGGCCAGAAATAACAGAATCTTTCCGCGCTGTCTGTGGTGCACGCAGCGAACTAAAACCAGAGATTGTTGCTAGGGTCTTTCGCATGAAGCTGAATGCACTGGAAGATGAATTAACACGAGGCCATTTTTTTGGTCAAACAGTGGCAGGTTTGTTCGGTTGCCTTCTGTCTTACTTCCTTTTACAATTGCCTGTTATCAATTCCTCCTTTTCCTGTCACTCTAGACTTCCTCATTTACCTCATGTTTTGTGATCTAGCATAAATGACACATTTCATTGCCTTATAATTCCAGGTATCAAAACCGTCGAGTTTCAGAAACGGGGTTTGCCCCATGTTCATATACTTTTATGGTTGGATGCAAAGAATAAGCTACGACAAGCTTCTGATATTGATGCAACTGTTAGTGCTGAACTGCCAGATCCATTACTAGATCCAATTGGGTATGATGCTGTGACAAAGTTTATGCTGCATGGTCCGTGTGGTCAAGATAATCCGACCAATGTTTGCATGAAAGAAGGATCGTGTTCAAAGTATTTTCCAAAACCGTTTAATTCAGAAACTACAACGGACCAGTTTGGCTATACAGTCTATCGCCGTCGCGATACAGGTATAACAGCAGTGAAAGGTACAGCTATACTAGACAACCGGTTTATCGTTCCATATAATCGGAATTTACTTGTGCTGTTTCAAGCTCATATCAATGTCGAGGTCTGTCATCAAGGCCGCTTGATTAAATATTTGTTTAAGTACATTACAAAAGGGCCTGATAGATCCATGGTTCTTGCTGAAACTGCTGGCTTGTCTGTATCTGATTCTGCTACCCCAAACCATATCCCTCCATTGGACGAAATTAAAACAGTTTCTTGATTGTAGAAGTCTGTCTTCATATGAGGCAGCGTGGCGGATCTTTGAATTCCCTGTTCATGAACGAACACCGCCGGTTCAGCGGTTGTGCGTTCATCTTGAAGGGAGACATTATGTTCCTTATAGGAAGAAACAACGGCTGTCTCGAATACTTGCCCGCGATTCTGTTTCAGAGACAACATTGACACAATGGTTTTACCTTAACCAACGAGATCCAACTGCAAGGGATCTACTTTATGCCGAGACTCCGAATCGTTATATATGGAATGTGAAAACAAAAAAATGGGCTCCGCGGAAAAGAGGAGTTCTCAATTGGAAGAATTGTCTATATCCATCCAGGTTGTGGTGATACATTTTATCTCAGACAACTTCTTACCAAAGTTCGTGGGTCAGTTAGTTATGCAGATCTTCGGACAGTCCATGGATTCCCATGTAGAACATACCAAGATGCGTGCCAGCGCCTTGGTCTTTTGTCTAATGATGATGAATGGTTACTTGTGATTAAAGAAGTCAGCCAATGGGGCATGTGCCGCTTGTTACGATACCTCTTTGTGTCCATGCTGATGTTCTGTGAACTATCAAACCCACTGCAGCTTTTCAATCAGACATGGGAATTGCTTTGCGAAGACATCACATATAGGTGCCAACGAGACGTTTGCTTCAACAACAACCTCATACCACCTGAATTGCCCAAAAATAAATTGTTGTGGGAATTGCAAGCACATGTTACATGCTTATTCAGCCACGTTATCTCATTTTAACCTTCCCTTGCCAACAGATGATCACCCACAAACTGATCCCTTGCTTCAGTTTGGAACTGATTCACATCCTGGTACTTTAGCTGCTGTGGATTCCCCAACCTCCTGTAGTTGGTGATCTTAACAGAAAGCAACTTGAAGCTTTTCATTGTGTAATGGAATCTGTTATGTCTCCAACAGAAGACTCGCCTACATTCTACTTTCTGTATGGTCATGGAGGAACAGGCAAGACTTTTCTCTACAAAACTATTCTTGCGCACTTAAAGAAGCTGGAAAAATAGTTTTGGTTGTTGCTTCTTCAGGAATTGCAGCAACATTACTTCCTGATGCAAGTACAGCTCACTCTCCGGTTTAAAAATACCACTGGAAATCGATCATGGTTCTTCATGTAATATCAAGAAAGGTACGCCATTGGCTCAATTGATCATTAATGCATCGCTTATAAATATGGGATGAAGCCCCAATGGTTCACAGATTG